AACAGACCCAGGAAACTACAGACCAATTAGTCTGTAATCTGTAGCCTGTATTATATCCACAGCGTTTCACTGTTCTATAATTTAGTCACTTTATCGAAGAATGAAATAAGATTGGTTTGGCGTGATCTGTTTTTGACAAACCCGTGCTAGCCAGTAGTTATAACTTTGTTTGCTTCTAGTTGTTCGCAGATCTGTTTTTTGATTAGACTGACTGGTCTGTGGTTTCCTGGATCTGTTTTTTTTCCTTTCTTAAAAATGGGAACCATATCAGCCCTTTTCCAATCATCAGGTACTTCCCGGATTTTTGAAAGATATACTATATAATTTTTAACTATATAAATATTAACTTAATTAATAAAAACAGTTGTTCTTTTGAAAGACAAGAAAATAGGTAGCAAATCACTTCAATTTGTATACATAAATACATTAGTGTCCCCACCATCATTCTTATGGGTGTTAGCTATATTGAATGAATATGTATAATAGAGCAAATAAATCATTTCCATCACTCTTCCAAATATATCCAAGATCAGTCATAAAATGGTCATAAATGTATTAGATGAATTTAATACTGTATCTTGGAAGACAGTTCCTATCTGTAGGGCAAGAATAAGCATATATCAGCAAAAAGCAAAAATGCATATCAAAGTACTCAGTGAAGATGCTCAAAATCAAATAGAGAGCAAAACAGGTTTCTGAGCACTGATTTGATTACCTTAAGGAAAGGAAATCTGCATATTTGAAGAAAATTATATTGGTTGTTTTTCTAATATTCTATCAGTTTCGACAATTTGAAGATAAGGATATAAATTTAAAATACAAAAGGAAGTAAATCAGGGTAAACTCACATACTTGACCTATGACTTGCAGTTATCTAGTTTGAGGGACAGTTTAAGACTCTCAAAGCAAATCCAGAATGAGGCTTGTGCACTGGAAACCAATAGTTTCAATTCAGCAGTCCATTTAATGAAATCTCTTCACAGCATCAACTCATTTGCCACATCAAGCATTTCTTAGGCATGTTGACTCCATAGAATAGATCAACTATCCCTCTTCCTTGTTCAGTTCCCCACAATCCTAAAACTCCTTCCTCAACTTCTAGCTTTTCCCACTGGCTCAATTCCTTTAGACCTTCCCTTTCAGCATTGCCATTCTCAGTCCTTTCTGTCCTTCAGTTCATCCATGCCCTGCAAGCCTCAATCTTTTCCTGTACCAGCTCTGGCTCCAGACTCAACTGCCCCTTCGACATTTAATCCACAAACGTTCCAAAAGCGCATCGTTTTTAGGCGCTACAATTCAGTCTTTTACCGTTCCCAAGAAAGCGATTGGAGAGAGAGAGCCGGCATCCATATTTCTCTGTCTGGACCATCCTGTTATGACAACCAACATCAATCACGTGTCACATACAGCGATGCTCCTTTTCGGTATTTAGTTACGGAAACGAGGCGAAAGCAATCAAACGCCGAGCTTGAGATGCGAGTTGAAGGAAAGCCCGAGCTACCGTTTAGGGCAGCGCATTCTTCTGGAATTACGAAGCAGATAAGATTCACCTTGTATCGAAGAACGGCGCTAGGAGGCAGGCTGTACTCAAGAACAATTACACGAAAGGGTTGGAAGGAATGGGGTTTAATTTACGACCTTAGCAACAACAAAAAGACCAAACTGGAGGTTGAATTTTAGAATCCAGGCTGTGTACTTAAAAGATCAAAATGTGACAGGCTAAAATCTTTATGAATGAAACATAAATAAGGTTTGGGGAACTTTTCTTCGATAAAGGTATAGATGCAGGTAAGGATTTTATGGAATTAGCCATGCAAAGGTAAAGCATACAAACCATTCTCGGGTTAAAAGTTCTAATTTCATACACAGAAACGAGAGGGCGTTGGGGAGGGGAGAAGTAGGGAATGCTGTAAACAATAAATGATCTACAAGTTTCTTCTTTAATTTCCCAAAATTGAATGTTCATGCAATTTTGGACTATATTTTTTTGCAAAATCTCAAACGGTTTAATAAATCTCTTCCAATTTTTACTACAAAAGGGAAAGTACATCCTCTGAGCAGACGTATTGAGCACTTTCCTAATTCACTCCTCCCTCCCACCTTTTCCTCAAGGTGATGAGAATTCCATTTCAGTTTCTCTATTTTTAGTCTGGGCAGTTGCAGTGGAGACTCCATTGCACACTTCGCTGTGTCTGCTGACATGAGAGAGGAGCAGATCCATCTTGCCCCTGCTTGAAATGATCCATCTGAAGAGTTCCTTCATCCTGTGCACAGAAACTACATATGTGTTATCACTCCAGATTCTCTAGAGAACCAAGACCTTTGGTCTACAAGAGGGAAATATCACTTATGCCAGACCTGGGCATTTTAGAGCCAATAGGCCACATATGGCCCTTTGACTGTCCCTGTCCAGCCTGTGGCAGCAGTGACAAGTGGCGCAATAGCGCCCTCCACAACAGTTCGTTTCTCATGTGGCCACTTGAAAAAAATAATTCCTGTCAATCACGCTGGTTGCCTGTTATATAAATCAACTGGATATTTTCACTGATACCTGGATGATATTTCAAACTTGTTTATACATCCATGCAGCAATTTAATGTCTGTCACAAAACTAAAACTTACTCAGGAAGTGTCTATTGATTGGCACCCACCACCTGCACCTTCATGTGCACCCCCCTTCCAATTAGAAATTACATAATCTACCTTGCTGCGTATTAGAGTATCAAATTGAACGTATAGTGTAACAGAGATCACAGTATCGTAGATGGGTAAATCTCAATGTGAATGGTAGAAGACACTAGGCAATAGGGTAGATAATACACTATATACAGGGATAACCCTACACTGTCCCAGCCATGCAAATGCAGTTGTAGGCCCTACAAATTTTGAAAACTTCCTACAAATTATTACCATTAACCACATAATAGTCTGAGAAGTAGAAATACAAGAAAAAAATCTCAGGTCTCAAAATATACATACCGGTAGTGGCTTCACACAGGATTAAATCCTGATTTAAGTTTACCAACTGTTTATCTCGCATTGAAGAACAGACCATTAGATTGGAAGGGCCACTTACACTGTCCCTTTGATTTCCATAGTAAAAGGTCAAAAAGTCAGTCAAAAAGGAATATCTATCATCCCTTCTGTGATGGTGGTATTACATTTTCATTATGTTGTCCCTTATTGGTTTTTATCTCAATGACTGCTCTGAGGCTATTTTCCATTTCATATTCTCCTCAGTACATCTTTAAACACCAGCTATTGCCAGTAGATTCCTCCCTCATTATCCATTAGTCTCTTGAAAGCAGTAACCATAGATAAACTGACATGCAGGCAGCAAAATACGTTGTCTTGTATTTTTGTCTATTTGGCTAGGAGGGTTTCTCTCAAGTGAAAATGGGTTATCATCCAGTTTGAGCTTGTTAGCACACTATTTTCTATATTAGAGGTGCTAGGAAACAATTTAAAGAGTGAAAGAAGGCCTATTGTCAAATAAGTATTGAAACTCTGGAATAGAATGTTGCTTCTGTCCATTTCATCAAATATTTTACAATATAAAGAGTACAGAGAAGAGCAACAAAGATGATTAGGGGACTGGAGGCTAAAACATATAAGGAACTGTTGCTGGAATTGGATATGTCTAGTTTAATGAAGAGAAAGATGAGGGGTGACATGATAGCAATGTTCCAATATCTCAGGGGTTGCCACAAAGAAGAGGGAGTCAAGCTATTCTCCAAAGCACTTGAGGGTAGGACAAGAAGCAACAGATGGGAACTAACCAAAGAGAGAAGCAACTTAGAACTAAGGAGAAATTTCTTGACAGTTAGAATGGTTAATCAGTGGAACAACCTGCCTCCAGAAGCTGTGAATGCTCCAACACTGGAAGTTTTTAAGAAGAGACTGGACAGCCATTTGTCTGAAATGGTATAGGGTTGAGCAGGGGGTTGGACTAAATTACATCCAAGGTCCCTTCCAACATCATCATCATCATCATTATTGCTCCTATAAATAATAGCACAAATCACTTTAACTGGTGTTTCTCATCTTGGTATGTGGGCTCCCAAGTCCCAGAATTCTCAGCCGTGATTGTACTGTTTGGGGAATTCAGGGAATTTAGTTTTGCGTACTTTGAAAATGGCAAGATTGAGAAACAGTTTATACTTAAGAGGAAGAATCAAGGGAATACTATTCATACATACTCTCCTGCTTTATCTCTGCTTCACTGAAATACAGAAGTTTGCAATTTGTGATATAGTAGTCCAATTTAAAGCACTTCTGAAAGGCAAAACATTTTGTTCAGGATGTATTTTCTCTAAAAACTTTGAAAGATATCAAATCTATAGTAATATTGAACACAAAGCATTAAATGTGGCCATCTTAGATAAGAAAGGGAGGGAGGAATATCTAGAAATATCTCCAGTCAAGACGCTGTCCTTGCTAATGCTAGCCTATAGGGATAATAGGAATTCCTGTTATGCTTGAATCCATCATTGGGATCTACTTAAAAGATTCCCTGGCATGCATATGTGAAAAGACTTTGGGCAAGGAAAAGTGACGACAATCTAGATCTTAATAAAAAGGACAAGCTGTTCAAATTCTAAAAATCTCTCCATTATTGAAATAAGTTTTACTGAAATAGCAGTCTATTTAAAGAAAAAAAAGGAACAGGCGTAATGATTAAAAACAGCTTACATGAGAATGCTCAGAAAACAAGCATAAATTAGAAGCAGGTAGCTTGAAATATAATCTTGATAATAATTGTACTATATATGCTTTCAAAACATAATGTTTTTGCTACATACATGAAACAAATTACTTTTTGAACTCACATTTAGAAGTTTTGCCCTAAAGTAATTTATACCTCGTTTTATTTTATTTATCCGACTTCACTTAGTTTAACTTAATCCCTCTTTTCTACTCAAAAGCTAGGTGTCCTTCCCAATTTATTCCATTATATCCATTATTCTGTAGCACAGGGTTCTACCAAACAGTCATTTTCATTAAGCACAAATCAGACTTCTGTTTATTAAAAAAATACTTTACAGGGGGAAAAATTCTATGCATTCCATTGTACTTTTTTAAAAAACAAATAGCTTTGACAGTGATACGCTTGTACAGTCACCTACCAAAAGAAATGCACTGTGTCAAAGGATTATTCACAGAGAGTCTTAAAATTTTCCCATCAGTTTACACTATTATAAAAACTTCTTTAAAACACTTGCTAAAATGTCAATAAATATACTAAGGCCACACAAAGCAAAAAACAAGAAACAAAAACAGTCTTCCAAGCAATTGTACATATCCTTTATATGCAAAGACCTTAGATTATTAAAACCACAGAAAAATATCTTAGCTGCCAATCAAAATTGAATTTAATCACAAAACACACAAATCTATTTTATACAACATGTAAAGATAAGTATTTGCTTAGACAGAATTGAAAGTGCTAGATTAAGAGAAGCCCCTTATCAACTACATGTGCTGTTGGGTCCTAAAAATATTATGTATATCAATGGAAGGCCATAACATTATTGGAAATCTCTTTATTGGACCAACATATAGTTTATCCACATTATAAAAATTTTAGGAGCTGAAGGATAAATATCCTTATTCATAGCAACCTTCAAACACAACCAATATGGCTATAAATAGCATTTATAAGGAAATAAGAGTGCTATCCCACCAATAGTAAACACATTTAAAGTTCCACTGATTTCAATGGAGAATTAAGCACCTGCTTATCTCCCATTCAAAATAAATGGGACTTATAGGTGCTTAACTTTGGTTGGATTGTGCCACAAGATAATTCACCACCCAGAATAAATTCAAGCATATGAATGGCAGCATGAGAGGGAAAAAAAAAACAAGTTATATGCATCTTGGGGCTCTGACTATAAATTTTATTCTCTCTGAACAAACATTATATCCTCAAAAATAGGAAAACAAGCCCTTTTATATGGTAAAATCAGTAATGGAAGAATTCCTTAATTTCACATAAAACCTCAATATGTTCTATCTTCATGGAAGAGAACATGTCAATTATTTACACATTACTTAACTTCAGAAATATGTGAGGGGGAATGTGAAATATCTAGTTCACCTAAATGTTAATTTTGCTTTCATTTGCTAAAAATGAATCAGTAGCCCAATACAACTTTTCTTGAATACATATTATTTTTCATTGGTATTGAAAAAGAAATAGATTTTTCGTAAACAAAACAAATTTCCCAGCTTTCACCTTAGAGCTGCTCAGGATCTTTAAATAAGATCTTACGGATCTGCTAATGGCATTTTCAAGATAGAATATAATGAATGCTTAACTAGTATTCAACAATTGTATATATTGGAAATGAATGTCTTCCCAAATTGTCTACTACTTCTAATAAAACAAACATAAAGATTTTTCTGCCTTTACTCTTCGATTTTGTAACTATATAATATCCACATATTTCGCAATCTATAAAATAAGATTTCCTGTCAGATTTAAGTGAAATCTCTTTGCAAAGCAACTAGGCATTAAAGTATAAATTATGCTGGCAAGATAATCATTTTTTGAATTCATCACATCAGCACAAGTCATTCCCAACATCTTCCTGAGACATTTTCATCTCTTTTCTACTCCAAGAGCAAATATTATGTTCCCAAAGTCATTAAGACAAACGATTATGCCACTTTTTCAGGTCCATTATGATTATTTTTCACTCAAGTATTTGTATTGGTCTTTCTTACTCTAGGATATACATGATAAAATTAGTACTTTAATTATAGAGCTTTTTTTAACTCTTCCTACAATAAGAATCCTTAATCGCTGAGCCAGAGTGAGATGCATGAACTCAGGCTTTCTGGGTAAACTCTGACTAGTCTTCTTCTACTCCTGAAAAAGTTTAAATTCTGAATTTCAAGAGTTTTTAGGAAAAACAGTCTAGCAGTATGAGGTGGGCTACAGGGATAAAGAGAAAAAAGCAGAGTCCTGGCAGATACACCAAAATTCATGCACAAGACTTCTTTGGTATTTGCTAGGGAATGCAATAATAGTGACAATTCATACTTTTTAACTATTGTAAAGATGTTGCCAAAGTAATTGCAGTAAAGATTATATGTATTGTTAAATCAAAATAGGTGACAGAAAAGATGTTTGATGGTTGAAATGTAAGTTGGTGAATGCATTTATACATAATACCGTTAAATTTTGACACAAAACTCTTGAGTTGGAAAAATGTGGGATGCTGTTTCAGAATCATTTAATCTTCTTAATCATTCATGAATGGCAAAGGTCATGAATGTTCACTTCACATACCTTTAGAAGGTTATTTCTTAATAAAATAAAAAAGATTCTCTTGTAAGCCTATTGCTGTAATGTGATACTACACAAAAAATTCCTTTTAAGGTTATTGAACTGGATCCAGAACTGTGCACAATGAAGTTCACCTTGAAAAAAAAAAATGGGTATTGGTAATTTTTGCCAATTCTTTTCTTCCCCTCCCCTAATGAAGAAGTGCTCTGGAGAGTTGGGAAACTTCTTTCCTCTAGCTCAGCGGTTCTCAACCTTTGGGTCGCGACCCCATTTGGGGTCGATCAACCATTTTTCCGGGGTCGCCAAAGAAGGCGATCCGCCATTTTCTCCCCTCAGGGGGAGGCGTCGCGCATGCGCGCTGCGCATGGGGTCGCCGTCACACAAACATTGAGAACCGCTGCTCTAGCTGAATGCATTCTCTGAACCTTGATTCCCTCTGCCAATAGAAAACCTCATTCTGCTCTAAAGAGGAAGTTTAGATTCCAACTACTATTTTCATCTTAGTCTATGTCTTTTTCTAATGTCCATTACTAGATTGTAGAATTTGAAACAATTTTCTAATGTATATTTCAAAACAGTATACGTGAAATAATAAACAGTTTTTCATTCAATTATTTTTTAAATCCAACTCCTGAGTGATTATACAGTAAACAGTGCAACTTTGCAACTCAATACAATTGAAATATCCAAGTGACAAATCTGGAGTTGTATTTGTTGTTATGGTTATTTATATAACTTTAACTGTGGGAAATTGATGTTTGGAAGACTTGGAAAATTAGTGGAAGAAAAATGCAAAAATGTGGAGTTGGTCAAACATAAATGAAGTACTGAAGCCCATGTTGTCTCTGAAGAATTTTACTTAGGACAGTCAGCTAAAGCTTTTGAAAATTCTTCTGGATAACTATTAAAAAAAAAAAAAGCCAGAGTGCACAGAGGTGTTCTGAACCAGTATTGGTCAATCTAAAATTTTTCATTAAAAGCTACACTCCTACATAAGAACTCGGTACCTTTTTTAAAAGGTTTCAACCTAACACCTTATTTACACAGATCACTTAGAAAGTTCCCACCACTTCAGTATGGAAATTCAATTTGTTAAAAATTTTACTTCTTGTCTTCAGGACTGCATTAAAGTCAATACATAAACATGTATATATCAGGAGTAATACAAGTTCTATCTAAATATTGTAAAGTTTTCTGATTACTTTGCTATTTGTTTAAAACTGTGTCCTCTATACCGAGGTGCTAATAATCTACACAAAACAATATTGCACAAAGTAATTGCTATTACAAACATACTAATATTTGCATTTTTCCCACAACTGCTTTCTTGACTTGCATTGGTGTAGTGCTCCCATTCTGTCTTCTACATTAAAAACAGATTTAAAAATACAAATAAATTTGATTAAATTGTGATAAAGTTCAGATGCTACATATGAGGGGGCCTATTTCATTTTACTACCCAAAATAAACATTGTTCTGTATATAATGAAAAGCTGAATCTACTTAATACTGGGAAATAATCAAGGAATGCTAAATAATATCAGCCAATTATACTCAACATACTAACATGTGCTGTTTAACCTTCCAATATAGCATTAAGGAATCCAAGAATTATTTGCAAAAGTAGCAATCCATATGTGATTATGTGATAGTTTATTGTGAATCAGTTATATATAATTTCAAAAAATAAAGGAGATATAGGCCTGCCCTATTATATTAAGTGCCTCAATGCGAAGAAGTTGATGGTTTCCATCTAAGATGCCTACTGTGAATTAAACAAGCCACCAAGTTGGTTTAAATATTGTAAAGCCTTAAAGTGCTCAAAGATAGCAGTTTCTTTAAAGAGACTGCTAACAGTTACTTTCATTAGACACTAGTATATTAAGTTATGCAGTTCAGAAAGATATTAAAAAAATATTCCAATATACATTAAAAGCAGAGGACCACGAAAGAGTTGTATCAGCAATTTCATTTCAACAAGATCATACACTCTGCAACTAATCTCATACATCAACTTCTTACTGAATGTCTTCTTAAGCAATTAAGGATTAATCTACACTGCTGGTAACTTGAGCTTCCTCCAGGCTTTCAAACTCTCTCACACATACAAATGTCATTGATCATTAAAAGTGCTGTGCTTTCTCTTTCATTCAAACCATTAATTGAATGGGAGGGAGAGTCACTTGTGAATCTGCCACAGAAACCATCCCTTCTATGCTGAAAGCTAAAGATAAAATAGATGAAAAGTTATCAGATTTATCAAGTGTTAAATACTTGATATTCCTGAAGGAAAAACTATTGAGATGTTGAATTATTACCTCATCCTTTTAAAAAAGAAATGCAAAAAGTTGTAGTCCACTACTACATGCTGTACTAAGGGAATAAAATACAATTCTAACTTTGCATAATCTGTGTAAAAAAGATACGCTTGACATTTTGGAATGTCACCTTTCTTTATAGAATTATAGGCAAGTTTTCTCCAATAAAACATAACCCAGTTATAAAACTATAACTTCACATCAAAATTTTAAAAAGCTGTTTAAAAATGTATGATTATGTACATATCAGACAAGAAAGAGTATATGATCCTTCTGTGGATTGTGTTGCTGATCTGATTCTAGTTTTAAAAGCTGGAAGGGGCAAACCAGCTAATCTTGTTGCAGAACAAGTCACGACAGGGATGAAAACAGTGATGGTGATGCTATTGTTGCAGTCTGTACTTCTCTTTCTTCTTCAGACTCTTTTTTCATAAGTACACATTGGTCTTCACCTTCCAGTTTCACCATGTCCGTATTTGAAATGTTTTCCATACACTGAGAATCATCTGCCCCAGGATAGTATTGTTTGAGCCTTATATGCCAAGCTAAACTGCAGACAGCTGACACTGTCTTGAACTGATGAATGACATTTCTAGGGATGAAGTAGATGTCATTGTCACATAGCTGGATTCTGGCATAGCGAATCCCTTCTCGTCTCATTTGGTTTAGCTTAGCTTCGTCAACCCATTGAACACACTGAGTGAAGGAAAAAGAGATAACTATGAGTAAGATTAAAAAAATATATTTTTGGCTCTGTGTAATATTATAAGACATAAATACTATTTGTTGTGATGAAGTCAACATGAAGTCTAAATGTCACATATTCCATGAGCCATGTACTGAAACTATTGCTATGCTAATAGATCAAATAAAGGAAATTCCCATTCTAATAGGAGGCAATCAATCAAATAATTTGGAGTGTTAACAAACAACCATAGCTAATTTTTATACTGAGTTGGACCAAGTTAAAGAACTGTCAAAAACTTCAATCTTAAATCAGCTGGCCGACTCTCAGTTGGCTTGGGCACGAAGGAGTCTGACCGCGCAGTCCAAAAATGGCAGCCGCGATTGGCACACCAAAAATGAGACCACAATGGAGGCTTTAGGCCGGCATTCAGCCGGCATTCAGCCAGCCGACTCTCAGCTAGTTTGGGGCCAGCGTGGTTATCCGGCCCTCAGCTGGCCTAGCAAAGGTCCTCCTTTCCCTGCCGGTAAGCTGAGCCTAGTGCTTTAAATTTAAATTAAATTAAGTTGGATGGGAAGGAATAAAGGTTGCTGGGCGTTTGGGACAGCGCTCATCCCAGTGCTGTAATTAAGAAGGAGAATCCACAAAGGGGAAAAAGGAAAATTACAACCTGTCCAGAAGTCTGATAAGGGAGCCAACCACAATCGTGTCCTGCTGGGCTGAAGACTAAGTCGTGTCTGGGAAGCACAGGGCCCAGCAGGAGGCGTGGCTATTTTGTCAGACTTAGTCTAATTGGGCAGGAAGACAGTCTAAACCCATTTGTGGATTCTCCATCCTCATGCTGGAGAACAGCAAGATACAATAAAATAAAAACATTTTCAAACATAGCAAAAACCAATATAAAACAGCAAATATATGAATATAAAATGTTAAATGTAAGCCTGAATTAAGCTTAAGAAATCCTGCTTCTATACATACTAGTTCAGTCTTTGCTGAAAAATAATGGGCAGGTTTACTGATAAAGCCCAGGCAAAATCTGTCTTACTCACTGCTGGCTTTTTCTCTTGGGAAGAGAACAATGAGGAAACCCTATTATTATTTTTTTAGAAGATGAGATTGGACATTATTCTAAATGTAAAACAAGCCGCAAAAGGATAATCTAAAATCATGCTGCTCAAGGGAAATGATCATGAAATATATTTTTGAATGAGGCTGATTTTTTTTTTGCCTATTTTTTACATATGTGCATTTTTTAGCAAAAAGTATCTGGTGATAGTGCAGGGATGTCTGATGCCATGAACAGAATTTCTGGACTGGGCTGAGATTTTTATATGATAACAAGCACCTGTTACTATAGATCACAGGAAAGTACTCTTGGGCCACAAAGTTCTTACTGGGATGGTAAAGAGTATCCGAGGAAATAATTAGCCATTTGATATACTTTGTGATTGCTATGCTATGTCAGCCAATTTGTGATAGCACTCATTAGATGCTCTCAAAATCTTGAATAAGTGCCTAATCCCCCAAAGCTCCTTATGTATACTATGAAACATGAAACCCCTATATAATATGGTACACAAATGTCAGACATCAATGATATATTAAACAATATATTTCTTAGAATGTTTTGCTATAAGGCATTGTTAAACAGTACTCAAGACAACATCTTTCAGACCGAGATATTTGGGGTCACTTAGAGTGAGTGAGTGAGCGAGTGAGTGAGTGAGTGAGTGAGTGAGACGGATGGTATATAAATTTCATAAATAAATAAATGAATGAAAATCTGGCACTTATGAATGGATGGTTATACTTAGGAGAGAGGATTGGATTATTTGATATGGAACATTTCTACTCAAAATTCAGATATATTAGATTTAAAGGATTGAGTGATTTGATATGGAATACCTCTACTCAAAATTCAAATATATTAAATCTATCTATCTATCTATCTATCTATCTATCTATCTATCTATCTATCTATCTATCTATCTATCTATCTATCTATAATCAGGCTATCAGATTTAGAAACCACCCATCTCCTTAACAGAGGAACTCTGTTTCTCTTTAAAGAAACATTACCTAATCCAACCGCCCAACCCCCACTTATTTATACATTTCAGGCATGTGTGTGTGTTATTCTGGAGACTTTATTTCAGAATCAAAAATCAACAGAGAAACATTCAGGAAAAAAAATAACAGCATTTTAACTAGAAACAACGTGCACAGCACAATACAAGACTACCTGTGATACTGGAGGTTCATGCAGATCCAATTGAAGTCTTTGAACTACATCAGTGAAATCTTCAGCATGAAAACAAACAACATCTTTGGTTATACGAGGCTGGTCACTCCTGGAGAAATGAAGATGGTAAAAATATGTTTGAGAATATTAGTTATATTTTGAAAACTGCATATATTAAAGAGCAAAACAATGTACTTCATCTCTCATTTTGAGAAGAAATATATGTACATATACAACACAATTTATTTTCCCTTCCTCTAAGATGGTTTGTTTACTTATTATATTTTTATGCTACCATATTCTATTAGGATTGATGGTGACATACAGCAGACTTGAGAAGGGTCTCCTCAAGAGGAGGCACATCACCACATCTTTCAAGAAAGGCAGCATTACCCATTTAGAAAAATGTCATACAATAGAGCCAATTCCATAACATAAAATGTCTGATACTGGCTTACAGCTCCCCAGAGTCACACAGGTTTCTTCTGTCATGGTCTTCTATCTGTCATTTTAAGCAGCAGGATCTCATTTGCAAGTGTACACTGATCATATTTCTTAACATAGGACCAGTTAAGTGATTGAATATGTCTGAAGGTCAAGGTTCAATATGGTATGGTAGTCTACATTTTTTTACACATATTGTCTATATCCTTAGAATTCAGAAATCAAAAAGAATTCCGAAAGACAGGATAACAATGTTTGCTAAGATTAAAGATTATGTTCCTTGGATTTGCCCCAACAATGGAGCTTGACTTAAGGGAGATCATGTACCGAGAAAATGATACAATGTGAATTACTCACAGCAAACCACTGACTAGTCCAACTGTTATTCCCCATTACCAATTTGATAAAGGAGATAACTTACAAGTATACAAAGAACAACACCTGTGCTGTAGGAGTTTCATGGAAGCATATAATTACTTTTTGCAGCTTCCACAGAACTGACTTTCAACTGGCCTCATTTCAAGGTATGTATCTCAAAATATCCTACAAACTAGTCTACTGTACTATGAAAGCAATTCCTTTTGCATAAAAAAATCAACCCTGGGAATTTTCAAAGATTAGATTTTCCTGGTAATTTAGAATTTAAGAATTTATAGCAAAAATGCCTTGTAACAAAAAGTATTATTATAATGTACGTTCTGTTAAAACTCCACACATCTCTATTTTAAAATGCTATAAATCCCGTTCTTACCATTCACCAAACTGTACAGCTTTTAAAACTCCAACAGCAGCTGTACTCTGCCAATCAAACCCTTGCCCAACATGATCAGCATGTGCTCTTGTTCTGTCTTCAAAAAGAACTTCACGGGGTTCACTGGTCCGAGGTAGATACTGGAGATTTTTTATTTCATTCATAGATCTATGAAATGGAATGAAAAAGAAGAAAACTATTAAATTTATGAAGGGGATAGACAAAAAATAATATCATAAAAACATAAAAGCAGCTGTCCTAACTTTTCCACATCATACAGGCACTACTTTGATATGTGGGGAATTAACTCTAATGTAATCAAATGCAATATAAATTAAAATATAAAACAGTAAAGGATGGAATGCATAGGAGTAAAAGGCCATTTTTTAAAAAGTTTATGCAGATATTATATACCAGGGATTATTTTATGTACTCTTAATAGGCCTTTTGAAACAAAAGTGCTACAAATAACCTCAACTTTTTCACAGCTTAAATACAATACACAGACAACAAATGCTTATATCGCAGAAATTCAATGAACTTAAAAGTTGGCAGTGTGCAGCCCTCCAGAACCTTCACCGGGACTGATGCAAATTGAGAGTTCAAAAGCACCAGGAGAACCCACACTAGAATGCTATGCACAGTGCCTTGAGCTCCTGAAGTAAAGACAGGATATCAAACTAACGGATAATATAACAATGTGCAAGTATGACACAGAGAGTCTTCACTGTCTTGCTTTTACAGCACTAATGATTTTATACAGTTCAATATCATTTTAATGATTTACCATCTACAGAAACAATATGACAGTAGCCATAAGTACCTGAATGGAAATATATTTTAAATCAAACAAAGTTTATATTAGGTGTACTGAACCAGAAGCTGTTGCTGTTGTTTTAATTTATATAGATATTCCATCAATATCTATTGCATTCCCTAACATAAACTTGCATCCTGGGAGTTTATAATGCAATGTATGATACTGACAGAGGGGTAAAGTATGGCAGCATTATAAAAAAATATGTACAAAATTATCAAGACTTAAGCTATATTGAAGGAAACTTTACTATTACATATTAATATATATGTCAACTAAGTTTCAGAAAGTTGTCAGAATAAACTAAGCCAATTTTGCTGATGAGATCAGCTCAATTAAAATTTAAAGTACAAATTCTCTCCCAGCTATAAAGATTACCTGCGCCTTTTGAATGGTGACTTTGGCATATCAGCTGTTGGGATCATCTGTTCACCAGGTCTTACCCACATAATGGGCCCATCATCACTTTGTGACCTACACTGAAGTCTGAGACTCGAAAGAGTACCCCAAGGCAAAGTCATCTGTATATCACAAAAGAAAACTAAACTAGTCAGCTAGTGACATGAAATGCTTTGGACATCTTAGAAACAGATGAGCAATTTCTTTATTAAAATATAATTTGTACACAGTCATTAGAGCTTTATATTTTCAGTATAATTTACTTCATTCTGTCATGCAATAAAATTAGACAAAAATCACAAATTTTCTTTTCTATTTAACTATTGTCTTAATGTTTAATAATGCTTTATCACTTTTTATTCCATCACCAATTCAGTGCTAACATTAGTTAAAACTTAAGTCACCAAAAGAAGAAGCAAAACTTTAGTACTTACTCTAAGAAATGGAGATTCTTCTAACATATCAAGAAATTCTGGGAAATAATCTCCAACTTCTTCATCTACTGCTCCAACAAGACTGATCTGCCTCATTGGACCTGCTCTGTAAGTTCCACAGCAGTACGTTCGACTGACCTTATAAAGAAAAAAATAAAACTATTTTATCCCACAGCATTAAAGTAATCTATAAATTTCCTGTGAAGTCAAGAATATACAGAATATATCATATACAGGACATACAAATATCTGAGCTTGAAATTTTCCTTTCTTATTAATCTTTCACAGGTAAATTGCACAGAAGAGTGCAACAAATACAAATATTACTCTGCTTAATCAAAGAATAAGTACAGTATCCTGTGTTTCATGATGGTGCAATGAAAGATCAGCACAACAATTATACAGCAATTAGAATAATAATTCTTAAGATATGATTAAGGCTTATAAACTATATATGTATAAAAACATTTAAAATCTAAGACAGGGAAATATACCAAAGCATCTGTGAAAAACTGAATAACTAGATATCCTTAAAGAATCCAAACAACTAAATAACCACCAGAAGAATTGTTCTATGGTAAACTTACAAGAAATACATAGGACAAATGCCCAAATTGAAACATCTACTACTTTGGAAAAAAATTAGAGGAAAATACACCCAACTGGAAGCATACATATGAAATGTTTCTCATCTCCAGTGAAATAGTGTAACAAGATACAATACTAAAGTACTAAGTGAGATAGAGATACCGTGTTTCCCAAAAATAAGACCCAGTCTTTTTTTTTTTTTTCTTCCAAGAGGCACCAGGTTTTATTTTGGGGGCGGGGGTGTCTTTTCCACTCATCTCCATCACCGACAGCCCCAGCCAGCCCACTTCTTCTGCATCCAAACGAGCAGCTTCATTCTGCAGCTGAGAATGGAGCTCCAGCCTGCATTTTGCAGTCAGTAGCCTTTCCAGAAGGCCTCTGCAGCCAATAACCAAGCTATGGATTCAATCCACAGCTCAGTTCTCAGCTGCAGAGGCCTTGCAGAACCAAGCTATGGGCTGAATCCATAGCTTGGTTCTTGGCTGAAGTGGCCTTCCAGAAAGGCCTCTGACTGCGAAATGCAGGCCTGGGGATGCCCGCAGAAGAAGTGGGCCGATGAGGAAAAGCCTGGCTGCAAGGTAAGTGGGTGTAGGGCGTGTGGGGCAGCTCCACACCCCTACCCCAGCTTGATTTTTAGGTGTACTCGCCCCAAAACTATGGCTTATCTTGGGGGTAGGGCTTATATTAGGCCCGCCCTCAAAAATCAAGCTAGGGCTTATTTTGGGGGTAGGTCTTACTTTCAAAGAAACAGTATTTTCTTATTCACCAATTGTTATTAAACAATATCCAAAGTCTATAATCAAAATACTTTGGATTTCTTCCCTTGCCAAGAAAACAAATCCACAAGGAACTATTGGGGAGGACAGAGTTTCTATGTCTCATTAACTTTAAAAAAGTGATTTCTTTGAATTAATCCATGATGCAGAAATATGTCAAGTACTCACAGGAAATAGGTAATCACATGTTTGTTCAAAGCTAGTCTAGTCCATAAACATCAAGGAACATGATCAATTTATATGTCAGCAGTTCAGTTTAAGATATGTTATGCCAGTGGTGTACAATATTTTTCAAAAGGGAAAGAGATAATTTAACAAAACTGTTTAAATTTCACAGTAATTTTTACTGGATTTCATTCCTACACATTTTTAAATGCTACATGTAATATTTTGCATTACATGGTTCATATGGTTCAATAATAGTATTATTTAATGCATATGTACCTAGTTATATAGATACAGTACTGTTCACTTTTCCTCAAAGAATCTCTATTAGCTAGGAAGTAACTTGGAACTGACAGAAGCAAATGGCATCTACCATTCTTGATTCCAAAGTCCATAAAATATACAGTTTGCAATGGACACATTCTTATAATACAATAAATGAAATCAAAAGACATTATTAGATTTTAGTGATCTCTCAGACTATTTAATTAGTAACACAGGTGCCTTCAATCTCGGTCACTCAGCCTATTTCAATGGAGAAAACTATTCACTCAAGCTTTTTGTGTCACTGCACAACATAGTGAACACAGAAAACAAAGAAAAGCAGAAAGAAAACGAAAAAGCCAAGTGAGCTAAAGATAAAGGCTAGAAAACATCTCCAAAGAACTTCATGTTCCTCTGACCATTGTGGGCCATCCAAAATAATTTGGAGTTGGGTAGCACTAAATTTAATGAGATAAATAAATGAAAACCATGAAGATAATGCCCTTTTTAACCTCTTCTACAAACCAACAAAGATAAAAGAATGTAGGATTTGTGGAGAGAGGGGGCAGAAAGGATAATCTGAGCATCATTATTTTTCTTCTGTAAAATTTTTCTATACCTTGTGAGAGCAATTTATGTTTTCCACCATTTAAGACTTAAAACTAATTTCTATTTTATAGTAAGTATAAGCAGATGTTTGCTTTTGGAGACTAGGACATTCTCATCAGCCATTTTTCAACAATGCAATCCTTAGGGTTGTAATGGCACTAAAAAGACTCAAATTATCAGTAAAGGTTTACTATATCTAGATCTTAAAATTCAAAAATAATGCTATTTCTTATAGAGAGGCAAAATCTGGAAGGAACAATGGAATGGGAAATGTGTGAAGGTAATGTTGATGTGTATTTGACACACAGCATGCAAAGGCAATTGGAGGTGGTAAATATAACTAACAGAAAGCATTCTCGATTTCAGCTTTCTGCTTAGTATTACTTACAATCATCAACCCCAGATTCAAATTAGAATTCAGGCATTTTGGAGTAATTTCTCTTACCTGAGTGTGAAAGTTTGAAATGGTGGTTGTTTCAATATCTTTTTTACCAAGGATTTCCATTTTCACTGGAGTGCTAGGGAAATTGAAAGCAAAGTAATCCAAGAAGTCTGGCAAGTATGCAGCTGCCCCATGAACTATCGCTAGAGCATAATAAGCTGCATTTTTCTCGTTTTCACTGAATGTCAAAGCAAGAAACTCTTCTGCAAATCTCTCCATCTCCACTGGAGACAAAAATGAGAGTTCATCCATATAGGCATGAAGAACTAGAGCTCCTCCATTTGATTGATGTTCTTCATGAATAAAATTACTAAATTTAGTACCTGTTTTTAAGAAGCTGTTGCGAACAGAATGTTCCTGGTGGGTAGTAAATGGAGACTGCACCCCCTGGGGTATCCTATATTCCTGCATCCCCACATTCAACTGACACAGCTGTTCGTCTTTTAGATACCTAAAAGATTCCTTGTTCTCTTCCAAATTATCACTCTCTCCTGGAGTCAAAGTCTCTTTGCTGATACGGGTAAGACCAGCACATACTGTCTGTACTTCTTTGTTGTACATTTTCAGATGCCTCCCTCTCATGTCTTCTCTGTGTTTCTTTTTCTTCTTCTTCTTTATTTTCTTTACAATAAGACTGTCAGATCTTTCTGTCTTGCCATTTTCATCTCGGGTTTCTAAAAGTAACAAGAAAATAAGATATTAATGTTGCAAAAGAGTTATATCCAATAAAATTATGTATTTTTTAATAATGCACCAGTACTTCACTAAAAGGTTAATATAAAGGTTTACTTTTAAAAACTGGCTACTGTTATATGATAAAAAATGCTTTTTACATTTACATATTTGTACATAACATAATATATACATATGTTGTTCTATAACACTAACATATCTAATCAGCAAAACCCAAAGTCAAAGTGTCATTTTTTTCCCAAAGTCAACGTTTCATTTTCTTCCAAAGTCAAAATTTCATTTTATCTCAAGCATAAAATCCAGAAGTGGTTTCTCAGCAGAAACCAAGTCAAATGTATTCTTTTCTTAGATTAAAACAGTTAATTTAGCCATTTCTGCTAGTTCCATTAGCTTTCCAACCATGCACCAGTTGTGGAATTTTTGTTTGTGCATAAAGCATTCTTGTTGCTGTCAACATATTTAACAGCAAACTTCCAGATTTTTTTTCAAGTTCTTGCCAACCAACATTCCTTGACTGACTAGCAATATGCCAAACCATGACCAAATTGGATGGGTAGAAACAATTGGGAGAAGATAGTTCCTAAAATAACACAGTCCCAAGCCATGAAGGGCTTTAAAGTAATAACCAACATCTTGAATTGTACACAGCAACACACTGCCAATCAACTTACTTCTAATAATAGAAGTGCTGATATTTATAAAATGTCTGTATCTCAATTCTTTCTCTGATGTTTTCTCTGAACAAAAATAACAAAAACAAAATTGTATAGCAACAGCAATTTGAACAAAACCTCTTAAAGGCCTTGTATGTGAATTCTAATAAAATTCCTGCTAAAGATTCTATTTCTCCATAAACTTAAATGATACTGCCAACTGAATTTCAAATTAAGTGATATAATGCTCTCCAAATATTACAATTACAGTCCCCTTATTCTTTGACACTTTATATAATGCCAAATAGAAGTTGCTTATTAATTCTATTATCATATTTATACAAAACTATTAGTAACCCTTAAATAATTGAGTTACTGTTGTAGAGATGGAATGATGGGAAAACTCATTCAAAAATCAGGCCATCTCACAAAAGTAATTTATTTAGTGACCTTATAATAAAACCCAACTCAATTAATTAAAAGCCTATCCTAGTCCTGCAATTTATTTCTCACAGTAACCAACCAAATGCCTCTTAGATACTCTGATGCGGAAGGTAGAAAGTTTATTCCTTTCCCACCATTGTTTCTCTACAGCAGATATTCATAAGTATGTCACCCACAATCCGGACAGTAAGCTTTCAAATAACAGCTATCAATAAATCCAATTTCTAAAAATACATAAAGTCACTGAAATTAGTAGTCATCACTATGCATTGTGATAATCAGTTATACAAGTTAATTATATCTTGAATGAAAAGTATATTTCAGTCGACCAGAAAATCTACTTCAAATGCAGATATATCACTGATTTGTTTAAGGCATAAAACAATTGGTAGTTTCATTTTCAACCTCTTTCCAAATAAACCATACATAGCATGGCATTTATCTTTTTCATGAAGGGTCCCCCCAGTCCACGGACCAGCACAAATCTGTGGCAGGCCAGCAACTGGGCCATGAAAACAAGCAAAGTCCCAACCGTAGAATGCAGGCAGCAAACAAAACCACTTCCCCTCTGGTCCACAGAAAAAATTTTTTCCACAGAATCACTCCCTGGTGTCCAAAAGGCTGGGGGCCGCTGTTTTTCATACTTTAAGTCAGCATTTTCACTGAACTATCTACCATCAGCCTATTTTCCTAATTACTATAATTACATATCAAAAATTTAAGGTCAGTTATTAACAAGATAAAAAAATCACCGTGGATTATAAGATATTTGTAAAAATTTTGGTAAATAGGCTTATGAGGGTGGTGCATCATCTTGTGCATAAAGATCAATCAGGGTTTATAACAGGAAGGTATATGAAAAACAATGTTAGATAAATTATTAATCTATTAGAATATTTAGATAAGAACAACCAAGTTCCTGCAGGGCTCATATTTTTAGATGCTGAAAAAGCATTTGACCAATTGAATTGGCATTTTATGCTAAGAGTAATGGAAGAAATGAATTTTGGTGAAAATATATTACAAGCCCTTAAGGTAATATATCAAAAACAAACAGCACAACTTATTGTTAATGGAGGTTTGTCGGAGGTTTTTACAATAGAGAAAGGTACTAGACAGGGGTGTCCTTTATCGCCATTGTTGTTTGTTTTAACATTGGAAATATTATTGATCAAAATTCGAGAGTCTCAGGAAATTAAAGGAATATATGTTAATAAAAAAGAATATAAGTTAAGAGCTTTTGCGGATGACTTGGTTGTTACTTTGTCGCAACCTGATTATTCTGTAGTAAATTTATTACAGTTGATTCATCATTATGGCTTGGTCTCCGGTTTCAAGATTAATGTAAATAAGACCAAAATTTTACCTAAAAATATGTCTAGTCAGGAGAAGCAGATTTTGACTAACTTGACGGGTTTTGAGATTGTTAATAAGGTAAAATATTTGGGGGTGATGTTGTCTGTTTCTAATGTAAAATTATTTAAAAATAATTATGAAAGGTTGTGGGTCAGGGTACAGAAGGACTTGAAGAACTGGGAAAAGTTGCAATTATCCCTCATGGGAAGAATTGCAGTGATAAAAATGAATATTTTACCTAAGTTTCTTTTTCTGTTTCAAATGCTACCAATTTTGAAAAATGAGATTAATTTAAATGAGTGGCAGAAGGGTCTTAATAAATTTATCTGGGCAGGGAAAAAGCCAAGGGTTAAGTTTAAAATTATGCAAGACTTCCGTGAGAGGGGTGGACTTAAGGTACCAAATTTGAAATTATATTATGATGCGGTGGTTTTAACATTAATCAGTGATTGGGTAAATTTGACAAATTCTGAGATACTTTATTTAGAGGGATGGGATTTACTTTATGGGTGGCATGCCTATTTAATATTCAATAAAAAAATGGATTGGGCTTTTAAATCTCATATCTTAAGAATTTCTTTACTTAGGATTTGGAGAAAATATTATAAAAGTGATTTCAAAGTACCATTATGGGCTATACCTTGGCATGCGATAGAAGCTATAAAAAGAGGGGTTAAAATGGACATGGTGTCTTATAGACAGTTACTTAAATGGGATGGACAAAACTGGCAATTAAAATCACGGGAAGAGTTAGCACAAGAAAACTTTATTTATTCTTGGTTCCAATATAGGCAATTACTAGACAGATGGAAGATGGATTGTAAGGTGGGTTTTCTTAGAGAAGATGAAAATCTTATTAAGCAAGTGAAGGATTCAAGACAAACCCACATTAAGAGAATTTATGCGGTTTTAGTTGAATTGGATTCAGAAACGGAACTAATTAAAGATTGTATGATAAGATGGGCGCAGAATTTTGGTGAGCCAGTCTCATTGGACACCTGGGAAAATATTTGGGTGAGAAATGTCAAATTTACACAAGCACAGAACTTAAGGGAGAATTTTTATAAAATGTTTTATAGATGGCACCTTGATCCACAAAAAATGTCTTATATGTACCCTGACGTGCAACCCAAATGTTGGAGATGTGGTTATAAGGAGGCTTCCTATTATCATATTTGGTGGTCATGCAGAGAGATAAAAGCATTTTGGATCAAAATATGGTGGAATATCCAGAGAATTTTTAGAAGGAGGGTAAAATTTACTCCGCAATTATTTTTGTTAGGTATTGTTACAGATTGTGATACAAAGGAGGTTGTATTGATGTTAAATTTGATTACAGCCGCTAGGCTGTTAGTAGGACAATATTGGAAGAAGGAATCTTTGCCTACAGTGCAGGAATGGTTTCTTAAAGTAGCTTATCTGGCGGAAATGGCAAAGATTTCGGCTTTCTTAAAGCAACAAACGCAAGAGAAGTTTTTGCTGTTTGGGATAAATGGATAAAATTTATACAATTTAGATTGGGTATACAAAAATATTATATAGTTTTTTCATAAGTTTTATTTTCATATATATTATAGATAATCTTTTTATATATATAAATATAAAGTTCTTAATTTAATTTTTATTTTTACTTCTTAAGCCTATATTCTGCTCTGGGAAGCTCGGGGGGGGGGAAGGGAGGGGGGGGTTTTTTTGGGAGGGGTGGGGGGTTTTCTTTTTATATATGTATTGTTTAGTTTTATTTTTTTTGTATATGTTGTCTCTTGTTTTGTATTCTTTTTTCTTTTTTGTAAAATTTATAAAACTTTTAATAAAAAAAAAAAAATCACTTCCTAGCACACACTGCTAATGTACTCCTTTTCTTGATTCTCTTTTTTGAAAAAATTATTCTTGTTTATTTCATAACTAGTTAACAATCCACAAAGGATAGGTGGTACTCAAGAGCTTTCAATAAGGAATACTATGCACTTGAGTCCTCAAAACTTTGACAGGACCAATGGAATAACTGCCATCCATGTATCTAGTGATATTCAAACTGTATGAATGAACATGGTAAGGAAAAATTGCTTTTACAGAACCTTGCTTTTGTGGTTCTTTAATTATAAAATTCACTATTTTGTAAAAATTTGTCAGTTCGTTATTATTATTATTATCGATCATCGCACAGTCAGCCAGATGTTCAGACTGGATTTGGCATTTTGTCTACCTATCGAGTCCTTACCCAGGACCTGGGATAGGCAGATGTGGATGTTTGATGGTATTACAGATATCGTCGCAGGATGGAAGCAGTTCCTAGTAAGGCCGCCTTTTGCAATTGACTAATAGCGAATTTGTCAATGCCAATGGTGTTCAAGTGGTGCTCCAGTTGTTTTGGGATTGCACCCAAGGAGCCTATGACTATTGGTACTACCCTTGCTTGCTTTTGCCACAGTCTTTCTATTTCTATTTGTAGGTCTTTGTATTTTGTTATCTTCTCCAGTTCTTTCTCTTCTATTCTGCTATCTCCAGGCACTGCCACGTCCACTATC